CAAAAATAGTTTTTGAAATCTTTTCACAAAGTGACTAATCACTCGTACTCTTACGAAGACAAGATAGAACCAATTTGGACCAAGCCAGGATCCTTCTCAGTACCCACATTTACCAAAAATGATTTTATTCATCAAGGGCTTAGCACACCTCTCTTCCTCTCAGTTGATCAAAATTTGCAAATCCCGAGGAAATTTTTCCTCTTTGTTTTTTTATCAGAGTTTTTGAAAAAGTTTTGTAAAACTTTGGTCAATGCGATGATTTAAAGGCATAAAGAAGTAGGTAGACTCTATGGCATTTTTTTTCTTTGTTTTTTTGTTTATTGAAAAGAAACTATGACTCAACAATGACAACAGACTTTTGATGACAGACTCAAAAGAAAATGACAAAGAAAACCTAGAGAGGACAAAAATGTCTAGGTTAGCACTCTCGAAATCAACAAACTTTGACTCACTAGGCCGACTCGAGCCTGACCCCAATTCTACAAACTTGGTGGAGTCAAACTTAAACTCAATACTCAATTCAGAACTCAGAATAAAACCATTCTCAAATTGCCAGTCAAAGTGTGGGCCATCCACGACATTCAAAATAAAGCCCGTGTAATCAACAGGTGGTCAATCCCCAATCACAGAAACAAAATGGAACTTCTAATTATGCCCCCACTAAAAACACACTGAATCCCACAAACTGAAATGCCTGAACTACACATCTGAATTTGAGAACCCCTGTATAGATCCAATACATTGCACATAACACATAGCAAGAAAGAGAACAAACACCCCTATGGAGGGTAGGGTTATCATGTCCTAGCTTTTGAAATGATCTAGGGTTCACTATTCAAACAAGCGGTATCATATATCCTAAAAATGGGAAAGCATCCTGTCCTAATTTTGAAAAGTACTATAGCTCACTATATGTACAAGGTTAGCTCTACTCTAGGGGTGAAGCCAATGTGACATTACCAAAGAGTCCTTTCGGCCATAACCCATGAAGATCTTTAGGAAATCAGAAGAGTCAACATAGCCTCTCTTCAAAGTCTGAGAACCTTCAAATCTCAAAAGGTTATAACACAAGGCCTTCAAAGTAACGTAGAGATAGGTGTAGTGTCACAAAAAAGTGTGCCTGTGCTCCCACCAGTATCTGGGGAACACAAGAACTTTCAGTGCACCAATGCATGCAATGCAATAAACATATAATTGAAAATAAAAGTCATATCATGGAGTTCGAGTCAAGGTTTCATAAATCCCCAGCAGAGTCGCCAAAAACTGTAACATGCCCGGGGGGTACCCACGCGCGTTAAATAGTTCGGACCCTCGATCTTTTTGATCTAGCCTCTCAAGTGCAATGTGAAACATAGATGAGAGTCCAAATTTGGCAACTTTTATTGAAAATCCATTTTATTGCAATTTTGTCAAAAATGGACTGCGTCATCAGATCTCAAAGTCACCACCTAATATTTATTTTGGGAAATTAGGAAACCCATAACTCGCGCCAAGGCCACTGTTCGTCGTAACCAATGATGCTTGGCTCGGAACCTTAGGCATGAGAGGGGAAGGTCAATAATGAGCACCCCCGCTCACCCGATCAAAAGATCGGCCTCTACTAAACCATGATATGAATTTTATTTTCTTTATATGTTCATGTTCGGATTATTTAATAAATCCTAAAATTTACTATGTGAAGCATACAAATATAGGCTATGTCACCCATTTTGGAACAACTTGGTTTCATGTAGTGTTGAAAGAGTTTTGAAGATGTATAACCCAAATAAATTAAGTTTACAAATATGAAAAATCATCATTCCAAATTAAGCGACACAACCTCCATCTACTGGCATTCATACAGTTATATCAAGTAAGCAAGTAGCCACATGGTAGGATGCTTAAACATAATAAGAAAAACACACACAAGCGGGATGCTAAAACATAAAAACTTACACATTTACCGACGTCCCGCGAACAGTTACAAAACAAAGTTAGTAAAACATACATGATCTTATATACAAAATCCTAATGCAATTCACTCATGAGATGTAACTAAAGGTTCGGCTTCTAAGATATGACATTGAATCATCTCAAGAACATGAGGTAGCGCACATAATCACACAGGAATTGATTAAATCCACAAATGCAAACTTAGCCGAATCAAGATGCATGAAACATGGATACATATGTTTCACATTGCACTAGTGAGGCTAGATCAAAAAGATCGAGGGTCCGAACTGTTTAACGCGCGTGGGTACCCCCGAGCATGTTACACTCATCCAACCTAATTTGCCAAACAAAATTCTATTTTCACACACCTAGTTACCTTAGTCTACACACATAATGAAACATTATTGTAATGATAATTATACTCTAAACTAAAATGACTATAATGGACATCCACCAATACCCATAATATTATATTTAAATATTCTCTGTCCAAATCTTTTAAAAATAAAAAAATCTCAATGTGCACCTTTTAAGTAAAATAAAACTAAATCCTAATTTCTTCATTATTTGTCACTTTTTCCATTGTTTCTCACTTTGCTTGTTTCTATACACTCTATACTCCTCTATTGCTTGCAAAGCAATACTCTCATAACAATTCTCATATTACTTTACTTTCTGGATTTATACTCCATTATTTATATCATTTTCTCATTAGTTTCACAATTATTTTTGATTTTGTTATGGAAGAGTTATAAATCAATGGAAGTTCAAAATTAAGAAAAAAATATGCTTGATAACAGTAAAAGCAGTGATGAAAATGTTAGTTTTTTTGTGCATAATTTTTTTTTTCTAATTCGGAAAACCAGTGCTGAAATATTCTATTTCATTCAAAACTACAATGTCGAACAAATCAATCTACTTCAAAAACCAAGTGTTGAATTAAAAAATGAATTTCGGAAAACTAGTGCCAAATTTCCAAAATCACAACTCTTCAAGAAAAAAATGACAGTTTATTCTAATTTAACAATGTACTCGACAGAGAAAACGAAATGATACCAAATGTGATAACAAAATCAAAACAAAGTAATAGTTACCTTTAATAGATTTTGGAACTAGTGTGTCGAATGGAGGAGGATGGTCTTCAATGGAGTTATTGTCAATAGAGGGTCTCAGGTCTTCAATTTCTTCAATAGGGTTTCCTTCACTGTGAACTGAAATAGGATAGGCTGTTGCTCTTCAATTTTGAATAGGTGTGTGGAAAGATAGTTGAGGTGTTGTGTGTATAAGATATGAGTTAAGGGTATATATGACTGGAATAATTGGTGTGTGAAATAAGAATAAAAATGTATGCACTGAGAAAAGATGTGTATTGAAGTAATTAAGTATGTGGAAATAGAATTTCATGGATGCTTATTAGACTTTTAATGTATAATCGATATGTTTAATACGTGAAATATTTTTAGTTTTGGATTTTTTGATTTAATGGATTGGTTTAATAGTGACATCAAATTTGTCACCATATTTGACTTTTGAAAAAATAAAAACTAATTTAACAAAAATAAATATAAAAAAAATAATTTAAAAAAGTTATTTCTACCCTCCCAAAAGATAAAATTATATAAAAATAACGTGTTTTTATTTTTTTTTCACCAATTTAATTTTTAGTTTCTTAGAAAATTTTTCTGAAAACCAAATTAAACATAACTTTATAACTAAAAAGTACCAGCATTATTTATTAAAAAAAAAATCTATTATATTTCAAACAACATACAAGTTAATCAACACAAAACAAGTTGTATGACGACTTTGCCCTTGAAATGGACTATTTGCAAAGGAAACATCTTCGATTGTCCTTATTTGGAACAAGATTCAAAATTTAGAGTTAAATATATTACAATTAAAAAGTCAAAGACCAAAATGACATAAATCTCAAATTATAAGAACTGTTAGTGTAATTCGCTGATAAGAAAAAATTGTAAGAGTAGTACTACTTTAATCCAAAAGTTATATTTACTTTTCAAACCTAATGATGTGATAGTCTATTATAATATTTAAGGCAAGAAAAATGTCTAAAACCACTAATTTAGGAGCTCTAGAAGAGCTCTAATTGATAGGGTCCACCTTCTGATGTGATGTTTTATCTTAATTTTTTTTTTCTTTCCCTGCCAACTCATTAGAGCTGGCAGTAGTGTGCTGATTTAGTGGTTTGTATCACCACTATTTAAGGCAACTCGCTCTCATCTTTCTTTAATTATTAACCATTCATCTTGTTTACACATCACTCGTTCTTTAAAATGAGTTTATGTATCATTTTTCAAACGGAAAGACTAAGAGTGTATACCATATGTATGTTATAACTAAAGAAGAAAATGACATAATTTTATATTTTCTGAGTTATAACTAAAAATAAAACAATAAAAAATAATCAAACACTACATGAGACATAACCAAAATGGCATAAAGAATAAAAATCTAAAGACTACTCATTTAAATAAAGAAAAATGATTTATCTCTCAAATTTTGCTCCCCACTTCTACCTCTAATAATGTAAAATTAGAGGGTTAAAGATGGAAAAGAGAAGTGTGAGAGTGTTTCACATAGATTTAACCACATCACTAGGGGTAAAATTAGAAGATCTCAATCAAGGAAGGTAGCCGAACTCTTAAATAAATGAGTGTTATTGAGTGTTTTCAAAATACAGTCACATAATATTTTAAAGTATTGTGATTGATAAAAAAAAATATAATTCATAATTTTATATCAAATAATTAAAAAATATAAATAAATACAATATATAATAATTAAGAAAAATGCTTCGGACCCCACTGGGGGTCGACCTCCAGTGAGGTGGCACGCTGTGATTGGACAAAAAAAAACTGTTTTATTTTATTTTATTTTTTTTTGAGTTTCAGCCAATGAAGACTCGCCACCTCACTGGGGTGCGACCCTAGTGGGGTCTGCAGCATAGTTGAATAATTAATTCGGAATCATGAATACGTCAGGCTTTATACCATTGAATAGTTTTTCTAAATAAATCAATTTGTGCTCTCTCCACCTCCTCAGCCAGCCGCCACATGCCACTGGTCAACATACGCATATACATATACACATACTCATATACAAAAATTATTTGTTGGGTATAATATATGTATGCACATGTATACACATCAATTGCTCTGAATTTTTACTAGGCCAATTCATTTCAAGCCGATCTTCCCAGAATGAAGAATAAGAAGAAGAAAGCACATCTCAACAACACCACTGAATACCTTGAACACAAGAGAAAGGTCTTTCTTCTTCTTCTTCTTCTTCTTCTTCTCTCTCTCTCTCTCTCTCTCTCATAATTGATGTAAATTACTATGAATTATAACTACTCTATCAAATCGAAACCAGTTCCAGTGGCATATAAATTTAAGTTATTTTTGAATATTGGATTTAAGGAGGAAAAAGAAAATGACAGGAAAATATCAATGAAGTTGAAGTTTTCTTTTTCTTATTCTTCTACAAAAAAATCTAAACACAGTCTTAATGAAATTGGGTTTTTGAGATATTCAAAGTACTGTTGATTATTGTTTTTAACTTTGTTTCCCTTTTGAAGTTATAAAGTTTTTTTTTGTTTTCCATTTCCAAAAATCACCATGCAGAAAAAATGGATTGGTGAGAAGTGTGGTTGTTCTTGCTTCATGTTGTTCCCAAGATCACTCTTTATCACTTGGGGTACTCGTGTTGAATACTGGGATTGGAAATGTTTCAAAGAAACAAGGTACGTACATTACAACATATAAGGTTTTTAGTCTAATTATTTCTCTAAAATTAAAATTTTTGTTGCAAAATACTTTTTCGTGTGTAAATAAGTCGTCACAAGAATCATCCGTAAAGCCCCCTCTAAAAAAGTAAAAAATGGTCTCTTTTTTCCTTTTTCAAAAGTGTTGCTAAAATTTGACAATAGCGACGGATTTTCTTCCCTGCCAAATGATCAAATTTTAAATCCAAATATTTTGTCCCTAACACTTCGTCACAAAATGTTTAAATTTCGTCTCTAAACAATAATATTTAGTCACTAAATATTAAAAACTTTCTATACCATATATTTCCGATGTTAAAACTCATAGTTGGGAATTTTTTGTAAGACATTTAGTTTTGTGAGTAAAAATGTTGAAAACCAAAAAATATTAAGCCCAATTGTGCTTCTCCAAATAAATTGATAAAAGAAAGCAGACCTTCAAACTAACTATAGTCTCAAAATATAAAATTGACAACATTCCAATCATAAAAAAAAATTGACATCATAATGAGTATATAGAAAGTATATAGAAAATAAAATTTTACAAAAATTAAAACTCAAGTGCCCAAATTCACTTCAAAATAGGTCTAATCGTCAAACTTGATTACAAAGGTATCGCTTTTTTAGGAGGAGTTGAATTAGGAAGTAAGCACTTGCTAATCTAACAACTAATTAGTTTTTGCCGAAAAAATAAAAAATAAAAAATAATAAAAAAAAGGTATCACTTCAAAATAGTGCATTCTCACTAGCATTTGGCTTAAGCTCCTAAGGTTTAGTGTATCCATGCATAAATATATGTAGATAATAAAGTAGAGTTAGGGGATTAAGAATTACCTGAAATTTGATAGGTTGATGGAAAGGTTAAGCATGATTCATGAAATTCATGGATCCCAGTTGATTTTGGACAAATTCTATTGTTTGCACTGTCAATTTTGGGAAAATTTTATGTTTTTGGAAAGATTTGCAACTCCAATTACTCTTAGCATAGACCTCGAAATATGATTCTGTCGAATTTTTCATTATCGTAACATCATATATTAGTAATTTCTTTATTTATTGCAATATTTCTATTTTTGAAATTTTTACATTTTTTTATTTTTGTATTGCTCATTATGAAACTGTTGGTTCTAGTTGTTTCCTACTAAGTTAGGTTCGCTTTTACTTATAAATATTTGATGTAAGCCCTAGTACTCTTCATTTTTTGAAAATTAATATATTTCGAGTTCTATACTCTTTTTTTTTTCCAACCTTAAGTATTTTTTTAAGAACTAATCATTATTAAGGGCTAGTTTGGCATGTACTAAATAAGCCAAAAAGTCATTATCTTATTTAAGTCACATCATCTTATTTAAATCACATCACCTTTCTAACACATCACATCAAACCCAACCCAAACCCAACCCAAACCCACCAATAAGTCAAAAAGTGCACTTTTTTAAGACATCCCAAACCAACCCTAAGTTTTTATTATCGGTATTCTTTGTGAGTCAACAAATCTAGAGAAAAGTCTTATATCCAGTGTTGAGTTTTCAATTAATGGATTCTAAGATTGTTACTATTTTATATTTCCACTACATCAATATCATGCACTATTTTGCATTTTAACTTATAGTAGCAGAGCCAAAGGCAATCATATTTTAAAAACAAGATTTCAGGCTTGAAGTCATATTTTCAAAACACAATTCCAATCCTAAACTCTTCACAAAATAACGTGAATTTGGAAATAAGTTCAAATTTGGTTTGACACGTACTATACATTATTCATTATTCATTTCAACTATCATTTCCTTGGGCAGGAATTCTCTATCTCTAAGGGGTTGTTTGACATCTACTATATAATTCATCTTTTTATTTTTTTATCTTTTTATCTTTTTTCCATCACATCACCTCTCTACTTTTCTGCACATCTTTTCGTAAAAAGACAAAAAGTGCACTTTTTTAAGACATCACAAACCAACCCTAGGGGCTAGTTTGGCATATACTAAATAAGCCAAAAAGTCAAAAAGTCACTATCTTATTTAAGTCACATCATCTTATTTAAATCACATCACCTCTCTAACACATCACATCAAACCCAACCCAAACCCAACCCAAACCCACCAATAAGTCAAAAAGTGCACTTTTTTAGGACATCCCAAACCAAAATGTTACTCTTTGAATACGTTTCTAGTTGCACAATGTATCGTATGATAATTTGACTTAAGATACATACTAATGATACATATCGATTTTAGAAGATACCTATCGTAAATCGTAAAATACTAACAATACTGGGACAAAGGATCTTGGGCCTATTTTCTCAAAAATTGATCAAATTTCATTCAAACTTGCAGCGATGAAAACATTGAGGTAGTGAAACTAAAGAAAGTATGCTGGCTAGATGTGAGAGGAAAGTTTAAGATATCTGATCTCTCACAAGGAATTATTTACGAAGTTGTTTATGAAGTAAAGTTGACAAATGGGGCAAGGGGTTGGGAGCTCCCCATTATGCTGAGGCTTTCTCTACCAGATGGAAAATTTCAAGAACGCCAAGTTAGCCTTTTGGAGAAGCCTAAAGGACAGTGGATAGAGCTAAATGTCGGCAAATTTAAAGCACATGATACTGAAAATGGAGAAGTTTGCTTTGATCTTTATGAACATGGGGACCATTGGAAAACAGGACTTGTTATCAGAAGTGCAATTATTAGGCCAATACCTTGATCAAATGTGTTGTGTTGTGTGTATGTACTTTGATTATGATGTTGTGTGTGTACGTACTGTATCTGCAAGTGCATTAGATAGTATGGAATGTGTTGTAATAGATCATATATGTGGCTTATCATTAGTTACAGTAGTTGTGGACTGAGCTGTGTATATATACAAACTTATAAAGTTTATTCATAAATTACCCAGAAACATCAATATGTGAGTCAAATTTCATTCTGCATATAGATCTTACAATACATAATTTCAATCTCCACCACACATTTCATTCTTATCACAAATATGAGATTGTGAGTCTGGTTCAATATAACAGCATTATAATTTTTGTTGGTTAATTACACCTTTCTTAACAAAAATATGAGATTGTGAGTCTGATTCAATATAAGAGCATTATAATTTTGTTGGTTAATTACGCCTTTTTTACCCAGCAAAAGGGGATTGTATTGATGAAGATGAGAGAATAAGTCTTGAGATATATCATAAGCATCAAAAAAGGAGGTGGGTGCAATAAGCATCATAGTAAGACTAAGCAACCCCAATTAAGTTGGCACCACGAAGCAAATTCAATCTTGTGCCAGCACAACACTAGCTAAGTTGGTGAGAAACCAACTACCAACAAACAAACCACAAAACGAAATTAAAATAAAACAAGAGTACTAGGCAGAGCATTCACAAAATAGCAGCAGCTAGCAGTCAATGCTTCTTCAACACCAACTGCCAATGCTTTTTCTAACCTCAATGAAGATTTAGTGAAACAATCTTCCTTGATTTTACTCCTTCGAATGAAAAGAGGAAATCAATGATAGAGTAATCCTCGAAGTTGAACTCGGATTTTAATGACCTCCACTAAATCCTTTCAATTTGGATCCTTATGGTTAATTACACTTTTAATTCTTATTATTTCAAATTGAACAATTTAGTCTCCACACTTTAAACTTAGTTTTAGTTTAATCATTTAATTGGCTGTTAAAATTAAAAATTTTAGAAGGGATTTTTGGTGAAAAGTTCCTCCCATTGGGCCTATTTTGTGTGAAGCCCATGGAATTAAACAATGACTCCAAAAGCCCCTCAATTAAAAAAATGTTATGAATTGACTGAAATGTCCTTCCATATAAATGGGGAAATATGAAACAATTAACAGTAAGAATTTACTATCAATCAAAGTAAAATTTTACTATTACTATCAAAGTAAAATTTTACTGTCACCACAAATCCAAAAGTCAATTTGTGTTGATAAAATTTTACTGTGGTTTAGTGTAACATTGTACTATATTTTAGAGTTAATTTTTACTATTAGGTTTGCCAAAGATTGACAACTCATATAGTGTGTCACCAACACAACTTGAGACATGAATGTAAAAGTAAAATTTTACTCTGCATAAACGTAAAATTTTACTCTGAAATAAAAATAAAATGTTACACTCTGAATCTAAGAGTAAAATGTTACACCTTGAATTTAAAAGTAAAATTTTACTCTGTATAAAAGTAAAATTTTAATCTGAATAAGAGTAAAATGTTACACTCTGAAACTAAAAGTAAAATTTTACTCTGAAAAACTAGTAAAATGTTAGACTCTGCACAAAAGTAAAATTTTACTCTGAAAAACAACTAAAATGTTAGACTCTGAATCTAAAAGTAAAATGTTACTTTGCACAAAAGTAAAAAAACGGAGGCAGTGTTTGTGGCGGCTGAAGTGTTTGGCAATGACCACCTCTTGACGACAAAATTTTACTGTCATTCTAACACCAGAGTAAAATTTTACTCTAATTCTCTCAAACAAAAAACAGAGCAATGGAACCAGAGTAAAATTTTATTCTCATTATCTGAAACAAAAAACAAAGCAATAGAACCAGAGTAAAATTTGGTCCTATCAAATGAAATTAGATCAAAAACAACAAAAACAAATCCAAAAAAAAAAATAAACAAAAACAAAACAAATTAATCAACAAATCAACATATCTAATTGAGAAGAAAAACTTCTAAAACTTGATCAACAATCACAAATCTCAATGAAACTCTCGTTTAATTGAGAATGTTGATCGTTGGCGGCGAGATCGTCTATTGTTGACCAAGTGAGAGATCTTTGGCTGCGAGATCTTTAGATTTGGAGATCGTCTTCATCGATTTCGTTCCTGCGAGATCTTCAGCTCAAATTTCAAATATCTCAAATGTATGATACGTATATAGAAGGGCAATATTGTGATAAAAAAAATAGAAATTATAAAATGTCCTTCTTAAGGTAGGCATTTCCTACTCAGGGGCTTTTTGAAAGAAAATTGATTGGGTTATCCTTTACCCTAATAAAAAGGCCCAAAAGGGGGGTTTCACCAAAAATCCCATTTTAGAACACTTGTCAGTCTCTTAAAGTGTATACATATGAAGGTTTTAATAGAAATTTAGAAGCAATACCAAATTAAAACTAGTTTTAAAATGTATTAATTTCATGGTGGGATTTGATGGTTAACGGTGGTTCGGGGGAGAAAGAAGGATACCAATTTAGAGGTGAGCTGATGTAGCATGTATGGTCATACAATTCTTAGATCAAAGGGGGTGGTTTGGAGGAGAAAGAAGGATAGCAATCTAGAGGTGAGTTGATGTAGCATATATGGCCATACAATTTTTAGATCAAAGGGATAGGCAAGGCCAAAGCAAAAAACAAACTGGATTTGGAATCGCGTAAAATTGGTGGGTCAATGGAAAACGTGATTTTAAGAAGGATCCACAATTCATGGACCCCAGTGGATTTTGGGCAAATTCAATTGTTTGGATGGTCAATTTCACGAATTTGCCATTTTTGAAAAGATTTGAAACTTCAATTACTCTAGCACAGGCCTCAGAATTCGATTCTGAAAATTCTGCTATAATCGTAGAAGCATATATTAGTAATTTCTTTATTTTATTGCAATATTTCTATTTTTGGTAATTTTTGTTATATTTTCGTATTTTCGTATTGCATTATGATTTTTGTCAATTTCGATTGTTTCTTAATTAAATTAGGTCTGTCTTTGCTTATAAATAATGGATATAAGCCTTATGGCTCTTCAGTTTATGAGAATTAATATATTTTGAATTTTATACTCTTTTATTCCAACTTTTGGTATTCTTCGTGAATCAATCATTGTTGAACCTTTATTTTCGGTATTCTTTGTGAATCAACGAGTTTAGAGAAAAATTTTACTTTCGATATTCTTATTTGAATCAATGAATTCTAAAATTATTATTTCACATTTCGCACTACATCATAAGCCCAACTTATTTGATATTTCTCCATTTTAACTTTCATCATTTAAAACAAGAGGCATGTTAATGATTGTTTAATTGACTATAAATAAAGGAGAAGTTAAAACACACACATCTATATACTCTCAATGTATTTTTATATATTTTAACTTTCATCATTTAAAACAAGAGGCATGTTAATGATTGTTCAATTTACTATAAATAAAGGATAAGTTTATATATATATATATATGCTCTCAATGTATTTTTATATATTTTAAAGTATTATATATATTTTTTATACATTGTAATATATTTTTTGGATAAATTACACTGACACTCCTTAATATTTGGTTCAATTACATTCTACCCCTTGACGTTCTACAAATTACATTCCCATCCTTGTGCTTAATAATATCATTTCACAAACTCCTTACTTATATAAAAGGCAACAATTCCTAATAAAAAAATAGAGGAAATTACATTAAAAAAAAAAAAAAAAGCCAGAGAAAGTAAAACAAAGTAAGAAAAGAAAGAATGCATATGTTTAATATTTTCATTCTGTCTAAATAATTATAATGACAGGGGATTAGTGTAATTTTCCAAACGTCAAGAAATGATATTTATTAAATTCAAGCCTCAAAAGATGTAAATGTAATTTACCCATATTTTTTTTATTTGTGAATTGATATTATTGATAACCAAATCGTTGTCAAAGTGTTTATATATTTTTTCACAAGCATGTGTCGTGGAATTTCTCATCAACTAGTAGTCATGTCCCAATCTTCCACTTGTCTACTTGATTAATATGTATTTGTTTATGAACTTAGACTTTCTTATGCTCATTTTCTAAACACTTCTTGAATTTTTTTTCTTTGTGTGTTTGTATCAGATTTGACAATTCAATGCAGAGTCGTCACGTCCACTAAGAGCCATTTTGGGAACACAGTAATAAGTTGGTGTCTTGGCTGGAAAGCCAACCCCAGACGCTAGGTTTTTTGGCCAAAACTGATTTGGGAAGCTTCTATTTGCAAACACCAATTCTATTTTTTACACATTTTTCTTAGTTCACAGACCTTAAAAAAAAAAACAAAACAAAACAAAACAAAACAAAACAATTTACTTATTACACACACTTTTATTCCAATTATATCTCCATACATACAACTTTCCAACACTCCCAATCCACACACCTTCCAAATCAGTGACCACCTCGTCGGCAACTACGTCGGCGGCGGCGACGCAGCGCCACCATTCCCTTTCACTTCCAGTCACCATCCCCACCCCTTCCTCCACCCACCGGCGACACTACCGCAACCCCCACCTTATCCCCTCTCTCTCTCTCTCTCTCTCTCTCTCTCTCTCTCTTCTCTCAGCAGTCGCGAAAAATGGGGTTTTGGAGGTTGATAGTCGAACCAATATGTTTTGTTCGGATGTTGATGGTCGAACCAAATTCATTGGTTCGATGGTTGATTTCCGAATGGAGGCAATTCTTTCGATACTGGTAGTCCAAATGGTAAAAAAATGAGTCTTCTTTCAGATTTAGGTTCCACGATGCCTCTCTCTCTCTCTCTCTCTCTCTCTCTCTCTCTCTTTGCGGATTGAGGATCGCGAAGAGGTGGGAACTGCTGCGGCGGTGGTGTTGCGTCACAAAGTAGGGGTTACGGGGGTAGCGAGGAGGGTGAGTGAGCGACAAGTGACGGGGTGGAGAGGGGCTTCAATTCGAGAAGATAAGGGTCTGGGGAAGGCGACAGAGGGAGGGACTGTGTTGAGGAAGGGAAAGACCGGAGGGGGAGGGACTGTGTTGGGTATTAGGGTTAGGGTTAAGGTTAGGGTTTTGGTTGAAGAAGAAAGGGATATTTTGGTAATTTTATTTTAGGATAAAAATGTAATAAAAAAAATATCATTAAGTGTGTGATGAGAGGAGAAATGGTGTGTGAAAATAAAAGCTCCCATTGATTTGGGATTGTGGTTATAAGCAGAAAGTGAAATTACATAACTACCCTCCTGCTTTCTAGGGTTACTTGAATAGGGCTTCACATTTTCATTGTTCACGCTGCTTCCCTCACTGCTCCTCTCCTCACCGTTGTGACGCTGTTGTGGGTTTGCCTCGCCAAAGCGATGTCTCAATCGTCAGCCGTCAATAACGCCTCCGACGCCACTCTTCGAGGTTGGTTTTGTCGATGTCTTCGCAGCATCAGGTACACCTCCACTCTCCGCTCATAGTCTCTTCGGCATAGCATCGTCAACCAATATTTATCATTTTTTTGTGCAATTTTTAGCAAATACAACTACCTATTGTTCATTCGTTTGTGCTGAGTCCTTCAATTTTGCATTTTTGCCTTCGATTAGTTGATCGTCTACATGTTTCATGTTTAGGGATTGTTATGGTGCACAAATTTGGGTGTGTCCATGTTTTGCATATGTCTGTTGTCCCTTTGTTCGGTTTGCCAGTAGAATTCATAACAAAACTTAGTGAAGTTGTTGATGAAGAAGACGACGATGAATAAGAAGTTTACACAGATACACCAGCCAAATGTTTTAATACTGTCTTACATGTTAATCCTTAACGATTTACAATCATGTTTGCTTTCATTTATACATTATGTATATATACTTCCGCGTGGATATATATGTTTGGACCAAGGGAACGATGACGATGATATATGTATTAGGCATCATTACCACAAATATCACCCCCTAGTGATTAAATTATTATTATTATTATTATTTTTTTTTTTTTTTTTTTTTTTTTTTGTGTACAACTCCAATCCACTGCGGAAAAAAAATTCCAAATATATTACTACACATTTTGTTTTGTTATTTGATGTATGAAGGGGTAAACAATTTTTTTTTGAATGCAACGATAATTTGTATTGCTTGTTTCAAAACTTGAGTTGAATTTGACTATACTAGTCAGCTTCTGTATTGCATTAAATATTTTTGCATCTTCATTTGTGTAATTGAATGTGAAAGATGTCTCCAATTAGTTACAACATAGCTTCCTGCAAATAAAGAACATTTTTTTTTTTCATCGGCAAAAACCAATTGTTTGTAGTTACATTAGTTTGTACAGTAGTTACTCTCTCCACCCTTTGCAAAAATCTGGCATGATTTCCTCCTTAATTGAACTTCTTATAGGGAGAGTTTAACTCATGACCTCTCCTACGCACTAAACCCTCAATGGCAGTTAAGCTGACCACCTAGGGGCCTAGTTCGTTGCACATGTAATGGAGGTTTTTCGTGACAGATAGGCATGTTCATTCTGGTAGCATAAACAACTTTTTTATACCGTTAAACAACTACCTTTGCTATTATTTGTTAATTATTCATAGCATAAACCTTATCTGTATAGGTAATGCATTTTGTTGTTTTGCTGCACCATACTTCTCTCACCATAATATTGTATTTTACATGTGTTCATGGTGACTTCACATAATTGTCATGTTGATTTTTCATGCTTACATTTCCCACTTTAACAATTCAAATATACGACTGCAAACGAGACTGACCTTTTTTTATTTTCGTTCCTCACATCAGTCTGCTCTTGTCTCTCTCTACAACCATTTGCATGAAACTAACATAATCTTGGTCTATGCAAACCTTAGCCCATTTGCTGGAACTTCTTTTGTTACTTAGGTTTCTTATTTTTTTAGAAAAAGGAAGTGAACAAAGTTCTGTATTAGCAAATAATAAAGTCAATTTGGAGAAACAGGTTTTTTGCACCAAAAAATATTTGATTTCAAAGTTAAGCAAATTTTACTGCAGAGCTTGTAAGAGAGAACAATTAATAAACATTACTGCACACATTTACATATTTCATTTTATCATCATACAAATCTCATTTAATTGACTCCACGTTGGTCTCACTCTCAGTTACCACATGACATTGAATACCATACAAACGTCAAACAATTCATAAGTCAAGCTAATGCAGTTTGTTATTTCTTGTAACTGTTATACAAATAACTTACTAGACATATGCGTTGAATGTTCCCTATCATTTCATTATGCACACCTCATACAATGTAACTGCTACGCATAATTTACATGCATCAATATGTGCAACAACTTATTTGGTGTAGTCAATATGTAACACTTTTTATGTGTCAGCCAACTAGTTACAGTTCTTTGTATATGACATTTAGGCTTCTGTGAATACAAACAACAGACATGGCGTCATTGATATCAACTACCACTTCTTCATGGCCACGAAGGATGTGTGCATGTGGTTTTGGACAATGCCTCGTAAAGATTTCGAGATCTAACAAAAACCCAAGTCGTGTATACTATGTGTGTCCAGTCCAACAGTGTGTATCACCCGTCTCTTATCCATGTAGTCACCTACTTGGTCATTTGTGTTTATAGCGCAACTCTTTCAGTCTAACAATTACAATTGTGTCCGGCAGGGATGTGTTCTGTGGGTTGATTAGTGTGACGAGTTCCGTAAAGAAAGGGTTACTAATGACCACCTACCGATTGATGTCGATATGGGTTATATGCGAACGTTGTTCGCATAGATCATAGCCTACGTACCCTTAGGACAGTTGTCGGTGTTTTGTGCGTTGTAGTTATTATCTTGTTGTTTCGTATGTGATGCATTTACATATCCACATTTATGTATGTGAATTTCGTTGCCCATACCACTATGATGCAGCATTTTTTCATGTTCTGACTAGGGTAATGTATTGAAACTTTTTTATTGCTCCAACGCACCATGAACTTGCATTTAATGTACATGTACTGTACTTTACAATACAACGTCGTTCCTGTTAACTCCATACAAATTGTTTTGCTGGTACTGCATTTTCTTTATTGCATTTGTTTTTTCAATCATGTTACATCCATACGTACGTATGTACTCTATTTCTGTTTCGTACTTGGTCTTTAAACTATGACTATGAAATAGTGCAACTGAGATGGCTTCCACCCGTACTTCATCTCATACTCCTTCAAGAACTTGACGTAAGGGTATAACATCAAGCCAACAAGAACCAGTACACAAATGCACCTAGGATAGCGACAACACAAAGCTTTATCTGCAACTGGTCATCGCCGAGATAGGGGACAGTAACTGTCAACTTTGCTCGTTATCAATGAGTGGTTATAAGAACCTAGTGAAGAAGTTTTTGGACAAAATCGGCCTGTTACATTGCGAAAACAAATGAAAAACAAATATGACAACTTGAAGAATTAGACTACATGGAAGAAACTACAGGATGCTAGCCAAGGCTTCACAACGATTGGGTATGACCATGCCACGGGCTTGTTCACAGCACCTGACCATTGGTGGGCCAAAATGCAAGCGGTATGTAATTTTGCAATTTTTATTGCAACAATTTATTTAGTTCAACATTTACAAATAAATTGCAATGCTGTTTAAATCCATACATTTTTTTTCTCAGATAAACCACTGATTTGCCAAGTTCAAGACAAAGCCATTAGAGCACTTGGATCTGATGGAAAGGCTGTTCCCAGGCGCTGCTGCAATGGGAAAACATACATGGATGCCAACTGAAATATGTGAGGACAATGCAACCGCAGACAATGTTGCAACCCCTGACAGTGACATGGGCCCTCTCAGTGATGCTCACCACCACATGATGTGCCAGATCAGGGTCGGCGAAAATGTGGTGGACTGTTCTTTGTTTGATGATGCACCCCCACAGTCAACCGCAAACGGATCAGCCAATGCCAAATGTCGAAAGCCGACAGCCCCTGGTACTGTGGCAAGCAACATGGACAACCTCATATAGGTAGTTAGTAGACAAAGCAAGGAACTGAAAATAATGCAGTACATTGTAATATGAAATGACGAAAATACTATTGGGGACTGTCTTGAGAGCCTAATGAACACACCTAGACTACAGCACGGTGGTCTGTTATTCTCATTTTCTTGTACGCTTATGGATTCACCCGATAACTGCGACCTAACTATGGGCTTCCCCATGGATTACATTGCGAATTGCCCCAAAGATAAGTGTGCATACATGTAGCAACCTGTTGTCATGAATCGTGGTCGTGGCATGCATTTGTTTAGACATGATGGTGTGGTTGACATGGACTAACACACGGGACAGCTACAACTGCAATCAACCACCTGTTTCGGTTCCCATTTTTCGTTACACTTTGCTTGTGTTTTAATGTGGATGTTCTGCTTTCTTTGATTATGTACTGTTTTCCCTATGTTGTTGCTACAAACTTTGACGAGACAGTTTCTTTTCTTTTTATATGTTTTTCGAACACAGCAAACTTAGACTTCACTTGTTGTGGGGCTCTTATTTTTAATTAATGTTCGATGTGTGTGCATGTCTTGTATATATTGACTGAAGATTTTTTTAGTTGCTTATGTTTTACCACGGTTTATGCTATTGGCGAATAGGGTTGTATGCACGTACATATGTGTTTGCATTTGAGGTTGATGTCAGTGACTCAATCATAAGTTTCTCCATATTTTTTTACACTACAATGGCCAAGTTGCATGTGAAAATGGTGCATCAGTGGATGTGTATGGATGGAATCTTTTCCTGTGTATATAGGACAGTGGTGGACACATGTCCTTTTGTGAACATGAAAGTGTGCACCTATGAGGATGGAATCACATGCACACAGTAGTTGGCTATTAAAAATTGGGAAACAAGTTGTATATATATTGCAACACACAGGTAGGCAAGAAACATAACTTGTTGGAACAATAGCTTACATGTTGTTCTATTATCAATTGCAAGTTATGGTCACCAATTTCGCCAACTTGAAGTTTTATTGACATTGCAATAACATCACCCCTGCGAAGGTGTGTCTGGTGTCACATGTCTATTTCAGTTTATAATTTTTTTTTTTTTTTTTACTTTCCCATTTATGTAACAAATTTGGGTTGACGTAATTGTGAGTACTACACAACTTGGTCATCCCGGAATGACAAATGAATGTTCGTATGTGCATGAAACAACTTTTTTTTTTTTTGTTCAATATTTGTTTTGGTTTTCTGTGGTGGTGTGCGATGCCCATGGATCCACGGGAGGGTAATTCCTCAGATGTCATGTGCAATGGATAAATTAATGCTTGGGTTTGAGAGACAATCGGAGAGATGGAAATGACGATGTCAATGATATGGGTCGAACTTGCACGCGTTGCGAATGACTACGCGTATGTTGATAGGACTCCGTTTCACACATTAGCATTGATTGGTAAATTATGAATGGAGGAGATGCTTATAGGTCGACCCAAAGCATTTTAGCGTAATTTTAGGATACCGAAAGAAGTGTTCGTAGCATTGTGTAACACATTAGTTGTCGATTTTGGCCTACAGCTTCCGTAGCGCCCACATGGAGTAGACGTAGTTGAGAGTGTCGGCATGTTCATTTCTGTGTTGTTACCAAAAAACAACCTAAGAGGGAGGTGAATTAGGTTTTTACAAATAAAAATAATAATACCCTAATAAAAATTATGACTAGCACAATAGATAAATATAGTTAATGAAATAAAAATAATTAAAACAAGTGTTCTAACAACTATGTCAGTTAATTATTTTAGCAGAGTGAAAATGTGAAATATAGTTATGGCAATTTAAATAAAATAAAGAGATAAGGGAGAGAGAGGCAAACAAATTTATAGTGGTTCGGCTTCAACTCGGCCTACGTCCACTCCTCAAGCTTCATTTGAGATTTTTCACTATACTCTAGCTTTACAGGGTGCGAGCAACCTTTTCACAAATGGAGCAATCCTCCACAGATTTCACACAGACTTTCTAAGTCAAGAACATTGAGTATGCTACACTCTTATAAGGTTGAAAAGAATGTGTTTTTGCTTTCACAGAAAGCTACAAGAATTATCTCTTAAAGATAGATATAAAAATGAAGCTTTGGTTTTTCTGTAAACCTCACACAGGAAAGATGGGCTTAAAGCTATACGTCTCAGTGTATAATTTCTGAAAGAGGATGTAAACAAAAAATTGAAGAACACTTCTCAGAAAAAATTTTCAGAGAATAGATGTGAGTGATTATAGATCAAAGAATATTTTCTGACTCTTTTTTTTTTGTAACTTGTTTACATTAGAGGCTTTAGTATATATAATGAAACTTATAGCCGTTGTATTCATTTAAATATCTTCCACTCCATCATTACAAATTTGAATATCTTCCACTTGAACCTTTTGAACTGCTGCTGTGCTGGGCTGTTTGAACCTCTGTTTTTGGGCTGTTTGAACTCCTGATTTAATCAAATATTAAATACATTCTAACAACATTTAGGATAAAGGTTTAGCCAAGAAATAATGGGATAAAATAAATTTTGATTCCATTTTTCTCTTTCAAATAAATTAAAACATAATTAAATAAATCATCAAAATAAATGTTGATTCTATTTTTCTCTTTCAAATAAATCATCAAAATAAATTTTGATTCTATTTTTCTCTTCCAAATAAATTAAAACATAATTAAATTAATCATCAAAATAAATTGTGATTCTATTTTTCTTTTCCAAATAAATTAAAACAAAATTAAATAAATTATCAAAATAAATAAGTCTAACAAACTCCCCATTTTTTATGATGGCACACAATGATGTTTTGATTTGATTTGGGAGTAAGAAAAGCTCCCCCTCAAGTCATGCTCCGTGAATTCATTTTTAAATACATAGGTTAGCACATGTGTAATAAATAAGTTTTAATTAGAGACATGATATGAGACTAAGATATCAAACTATAAATACATAATCATCAGATTCGTTTTCAAATAATACCATAATTTGAAAATAATATCATAATACATAACATCATAACAAAATAATACCATAATACATAACATTATATAATTTCTTCCCCTGTGACATTATCAAAAGGAAATCATGGGACAGAATCTGGAGAAAAAGGAAGAAAATGATAGTAATAAATGGCATCTATACAATTAAAAACATATATATACATAAATATACGATTTTCGCGCCTCTCTCTTTTTCGTCGAAAATCGCGTCGGATGTGTCCTCACTTTTGCGTCAGCCGACCGACAAAAGTGAGACGGGTCAATCAACGGCCTTGGCTCTTTCTCCCTCTTGTCTTCTTCTCCTCCGTCTTCTTCTTAATCACTCTCTTCTCCTTTTGCTTTCTCATTCGCTTCTATCCCTTTCTTCTTCTACGTGAGAGAGATAGAACAGAGAGACTAAGCAGAGTAGAAAGGCTGCCAAAAACGACCCTCTTTTCGATTACATCTCTTGCTTCTACTATATGGCCTCGTCCCGTCCCCTTACTCTCTTTCCGGATCTGAATGATCCCGTAAGCGCTGCTGGGCTAAGTACCCCGGCTCCTACTCTTCCCAACCTTCCTATGATGTCGATTGAGCAAATAATGGCAGCTCAATCAGACATTGAAGCCAATCATTTCACACTGACGTCCTGTATGGAGACAGTGACTGCAGTCAAAAAATTGGCTGACCGACTGTAGAACAGGACGAGTGAGCTCCACCAGGTCAACGCCCAACTCTTGCTGCTCCAACGCATGTATAATGATGCGTGAGCAGAGATTTGCGCACTGAAGGCCGAAAATAAAGAGCTTAAACGGAAGACCACCTCCATGGCCCGATTTGGAGCAACGTCGTTCTTGGCTTTTGATAGTCAGCAGGGAGTCGTCGATCTCAACGAAAGTACGGGGGCAGGGCCTTCAAGGGCCACCTAATGTGATAAAAAGAGAAAGAAAACGATGGAAAAAGCGAGTAAGTAAGATCAACGTATGGCCGTAAAAAAATGAAGGTTTTTTTTTTAATGTAAATATGTTTATTGTGATCGGCGTAAGGCCGTAAAAAAAATGAAGGGTGTTTTTTTTTATGTAAATATTTGTATTTTGATTTGTTTTTGTTTTTATGTTTAAGTACTGAAAAATGAAATTAAAAAGTAGAAAATAAAAAAAAAAGAAAATTAAGCCCAAACAAAAAATAATAATGAGAAAAAAAATAAAAATAAAAGAAATTAAGCCTAATAGCAAAATAAAAAAATAAACTAATACCAGTAGAAATTAAACTTAATGGGACGTTGGTGTTGCTGGAATGGTAATGCAAAAAAAAATACCATGAGGGTTTAAAAAAAATTTAATATATGCAAAGTTAACTTTATCTCAAGATGTAGAACCAAAAAAAAAAATTACACAGTTGAGAATAGCAAACTGTTAAGAAGAATAAATGTATGAAGGACTTGAGAGCATTCAACTGATATAAATGTTTCCATATCAATGTAGCAATACACATATATCATTTTAACAAAAATTCAAGTTTCACAGTCATAACAAAACTTTTTAAGTAAAAATCGACATTCCAAACTCACCACGAATAAAATTGAAGCGATCCTCACTTAGGGGTTTTGTGAAAATATCCGTCAATTGCATGTCGGTGTTTACAAATTCAAGTATAATATCCCCTTTTGAACATGATCTCTTAAAAAATGATGTCGAATTTCAATATGTTTTGTTCGTGAGTGTTGAATTGGATTTTTGCTTAAATTGATGGCACTAGTGTTATCACATTTAATAGGGATATGATCATAATGCAAATCAAAGTCTTCCAATTGTTGTTTCATCCAAAGTATTTGGGCACAACAACTTCCGGAAGCTATATATTCAGCTTCGACCGTTGATAAAGTAACAGAATTTTTCTTTTTGCTAAACCAAGATACTAATGAGTTACCAAGAAAGTGACAAGTGCCACTGGTGCTTTTTCTATCAAGTTTGCATCCGGCAAAGTCGGCATCCGAGTAACTAATTAAATCAAATGCAACACCTCTAGGATAAAACAGTCCCAAATTTTGAGTACCAACAAGGTATCTAAAAATTCTTTTAACAACACTAAGATGCGATTCCGTAGGATTTGATTGATATCTAGCACACATACAAACACTAAACATAATATCGGGTCTACTTGCGATTAAATAAAGAAGTGAGCCGATCATACATCGATATTTTGTTTGATCAATGGACTTACCTTTTTCATCCTTGTTTAGCTTAATTGATGTGCTCATAGGAGTTCTAGCTATTTTTGAGTCAAACATACCAAATTTTTTGAGTAGTTCTTTTGTATACTTAGCTTGGTTGATAAAAATTCCTTCCTTACATTGTTTGATTTGAAACCCAAGGAAATAACTTTGCTCTCCCATCATGCTCATCTCAAACTCACCTAGCATACACTTAGCAAATTCCTTACACAAACTTTCATTAGTAGCACCAAATATAATGTCATCCACATATATTTGCACAATAAGTAAATCATCATTTTTAGTTTCAGTAAAAAGTGTTGTGTCAATCGTTTCTCTAGAAAAATTATTTTCAATCAAAAATTTACTTAATCGTTCATACCATACACGA